GAGTTTAAATTATGAGAAATTCTAATTTAATTAGAATGAGAGGAGACTATATGATGATATTTTAATTTAATTAGAATTATTGTTGTTAAGGCATGAAAAATATTTTTCATGTAATTAAAATATTTGAAAGTGTGGGGGTGCCTAATGTGTGGAGTTTGTTGCAAAAATGTTTTGTGCCAAAATATTAGTCTATTTTTATAATTGTCCAGTTGTAGTTTAGAGAAAAATTATGTGGAGGCTTTATGACTTGCATAAATGCCAAAAAAAAATTGTGATTTATCAAGGTGGTGGCATAAAAATTAATCATTTGTCTAGTATAGATAAATGAATTTTGAAATAGGCGCATGACCTATTTAATAATATATCTTGGCAGGAGTATTTATTATTGTAAATAATGATTTGTGTTGTGATCTCATGAGATAACTAATTGAGAATAGTGGATTCCCACTATATAAAATACGTGAATATTTACTGAGTTATAAATTTGTGTGAGAAAATCCACTAGTGATTATCCACTCTCGGTAGTGATGATATCAAAATATAATGATAGGACTATGGTGGAGTCTAAGCTCATTTATTTGAAACTAGATTGGAGGCTAAGTTGCTAAAGATCATCTAAGTAATTATTTTGTTGTGTAAAACTGACACATAGTGTTGATGAATTCTTATAAGCTTGATACGTCATTTAAAAAAAATGATATGTTTTTGTTGCTTAATTTGTGTATGCACAAATTTGTGAGAGTTTGTTGCATTAATAAGTGTTAATCCCATAACATAAGTTGCATGGAGATTAAGTCTTATAAAAGTATGAGACAAATGAGTATTTAAAAGATACCATAAATGGTGGTATCATGTATAATAGACTTCCATTGTATTAAGACAATGCAATGATGTTAACTGAATTTTATATTCAGATGAAGAAAAATCTATTAGTAGCTAAATAAAATATTATTTGAGCCAGAGTTTATTACTCTGAAGTTGGCTAATAATGAGGCTAAGTAGTTCAGAAACTTCTTAGTTAATAATAATATTGCATTGAGAGTAAAACCGACACACATTATGTCGATGATTTGTGTAATTGGCAAATGGTGATAGTCATTGCAAAGAGAACAATGGCCAAATGGTGATAGTCATTGCAAAGAGAATAATGGCATAGGTAGATATCGTTTAAGATATAATTAAGCATGCTAAAAGCGGAAGTTATCTCAATCAATTATGTAAGATTATATGTAAATCTGACGGATCCGTTAACCAGCCCTTAGGGAAGAATTTTAATTATTTAAATGTCGAGGAGAATGGGACTTAAGCTAATTAGAAATTAATGGTGATGGCAACCTAACCTTTGTGATTGGAGATCCCATGAAGAAGGTTCAATAGGTAAGAACAAGTCACTTGTTAGTTCTGCTAGCACTAAAATTTTTGTCCCTTCCTATGGCTTGAGAAAGTGCTAGAATGCATTGATCGGAGGCTGAACGAAAGCTCTTAATGTTTTTTATAGTTCTTATGGATGGTGTATTCATTGCAGATACACTTGATGAAAACACCTATACAAATGTGGAGTGGGGCCGCTTCTATGAGATCGTGGCGAAATCTCTAAAGCATTTGTTAAAACCAAGCACGCGCATGGCCGATAATGTGCAAAACCACGATAATAATGGAAATTGTGGGGGTATAAGTCAACTAATAAGACCTCTAGCACACAACCAAGATTTGTTAGTTCAATAACAAAGTTACACCAACTTTTCTGTACGTTAAGTTTTATTGGTTTAGGGGTTAGTTCAAGTCGAAAGACACCAAATTCGAAGTGATTATCTTTCGTGAGAATAACTCAGATGATATTAGTCCTTTTGACACATGTGGGAGATTGTTACAATTGTGTCAAAAATGAAAGTCCCATGCTACTCAAATGAATGAAGGCCTTAGTTTATAGATACTAAGATGTGAACTTGGGCTAATAAATGGGCTTAGAGGAGATATGAGCTCTCGCATACAATTGCGCATGAGTTAAACATGGTATTGGGCAATTTTTAAAAATTTTAGAAATTATTTTTGGAGATACAAAATTATTTGTATAAGATAGTTCATCAAAAATTTTCTTCCTTTTGAAGTATGTAGGGGATTGTTGGATATTATAAAATATTTTTCAGTATTTCAAAAGGAATTATTATAAATTAATAATATTAATTATTATTTAAGTCTATTTATTATTTTGTAACGTATAATTTAAACATCATTATTATTTGAAACTGTTTTTAATTGTGATTAAGGTGACTTTATGGCCCAGAATTATGAGATTTTCCTATAAAAGGCAGTGCTTGCCACATGTTCTGGGGGAGCTTTTGTCCTCTTAGCCTTTCTCTCCTCTTTTACCACATTGTTTCTTTGTGCATATACCTGAGATTATTTTATGAATTTCTGTTGTTCTGTGTCCCTACTTTTAGTAGGAAGAGTTTGTTTAATCCTGGAGAGCTGCCATGCGATTAACCCGGTGTGGCGGAATAGCTCTTAAGGACAGTGTCCTTGGGCACAACTCATACTAGATTTCACCAGCTGTTGCCATCAGGACATGGATCAAGGTAAGAAAATATATGTCCTCTTCAATTATCATGTTATGCTTTTAAAATTGAAATTTATTTGTCCTAACATTTTTCTTAATTTAAAGGATATATTAAAGTAAATCATAATCATCTCTCTCATTACAATTTTTTATAATTTTTAGTTTAATAACATGTTAAAAAAATCCTCTTACATTTGTATGACCTCAACTCTTACATTCGTTACGGTTTCATTTGAATATATATCCAAGAACAAATCTAGAATTTGCAATGTCACCTATATTAACCATCTACTTAATTATTTTAATGAAGCCTTACCATAGTAATCAAAAATTCTTTTATTCAAAATAAGATTTTAAGTTTAAAATTAAAAATGGATAGATTTAAGCCAACATCAAAATTAGAGATATAAAATGTATGGAAGTATGAGATGCCAATTAAGTTTGAAAACATTTATATAAAAGGGTAAAAATGTCATTTTTCAACAATATAAGTCATCTACCATGGCATAAAGAAGGTGCACCACAGTTGGAACTCTCTGTACCACACATCACAGCCTATTGCACAGATCTTGACAGCACCGAGTTGTTGTTTGACAAATTATGGAGGGCCAACTTCTAATATATCCCAAATCTTTATTTCATGCTCGATACAGGTGATTTAAGTATTTACATAAAACTCATTTAATAAATTAGTTAATAACACTGGTTTTATTTTCAAATCCTTTCACATAGAGAAGTGACACCTAAACCCAAATTAACCATGCTTTAAGCTTTTCATAACAAAAGAGTGTCCAAACCCCATCCAAAGTGCCACAAGCTCACATAACTGCCTTGATCAAAATGAAATAACTTAGGACGACTTATACAATACACTACAACATATAAATGCATTCAAAATAAAAGTTATAAATATCATTATGGTAAATATATAAAATAGGCAATTTATTCCTCCACGTGGCTTGACCTGAGAAGTTCATGGATCCTATATGGCCAATACTAAATTGAGAGACAGCATTCATCTCGCCTTCATGCAACTGAGATGAGAACTTCAAAAGCAAAATTCAATATTCGTGACAACATGAATACAATCACCCTAAAATGGACATACAAACATCACAAACAATTAATATAAAATAAAATAAAAACCAAAGGAAACAACCCAATGAAAAAGCCATACTACATTAACATATTGAAAAACCATCTCCCATCATTGGGTTTTATTGAGTAGAAGGTAAACCGACCATCCAGATGCACAGCACTCAAATCTTAATCTTTCAATAATTTCAAGGTGGGTTAATAGCTTGAACGTCACTAAATTGTGGAACCATATCCTGCAAAACTCTCAAGCATGTTTAAATCTTTTTAGATGACAATGAAAGGAGAATATGTAAAGAAAGAGGTAGCAATTGAGTGGTAATCGAGGTGATTTGAATGGAATGATTAAGCTTTTGGACCCATCTCTTTAAATAGACTAAACACACCATGGTTGAAGTTTTTAGAGAGAAAGGCCCATTTTTCGCAAATTCCTCATTAATTAAAAGGGATCACATTACCTCTTTCATTCCCTCACTCTTCAAACTATTTAGAGAGGATTATACTATTCATCTTTATTTTCCTTCACTAACTAGGTAAATTAGAGATGAACATGTTATTCCTCACTAATTTTGCTTGCTAAATTTTTCTTCAGAGACAAAATAAAATGTCTTCTCTAAATTCCTCTTCAATGCCGCCATTTAGAGATAAACAATTAAATTCGTACTAAATTTCCTCGCTAATCCAAGTGGTGTACATTAAGGCTTTATTTATCATTTTTTAAAGCAATCTTCAAAAAATTTAAGAGCCATACTAACCTTTTTTTTTTTTAAGGAAGAGATGAAAGTTGTCCATATCATGAGGGTAATCATATAAATTCATTATTAAATTTCGCAATAACACATGATCACTTAAAGAGTTCATGTCAAGTGTGCGCTATAAACATAGGAATGACAGTTCAAATTACCTTCCGTAGTGTTAAAGCAGTAGCTTACCACGGACTTTATTCTGGTCTTTCATATGAGATCTCATTCCCCTTTGTCTGCTGCCACAATAATTACCTTTGCCTCACAGTATTCATATCCAATGCACCATCTGTTTAAATGTGATATTCAAATCCAAATGATTACAAGTCAACAGTCCAATTTAACGGAAGGGGTATTTTGGGAATAATGCCACAAATTGCTAAGATTGACATTAATGAACAACGAGCTTAACTTTTATTTTTAATGGGTGTGATGTGAAGTCTTTTACTGTTCTACAATTAGCACCAACATAAGTATATTATTGTCGGGCTTGGGTTCGAATTCATGTCTTACAACAGCACCACTAAACCGTGCACCTCGGCCCATACACTCGCGCCGTCGCATGCGTTCCACGACCACGACCAGTAGCATAGCTTATTTTGGTTCGCAATGTATAATAAACCATAAACGGCAATATTGCGATGCAATTTCTTAACACCCGAAATAATAATCTACGCCAACGCCTAATGGGGAGGATACACCTTCTTTCAACGAGAGCCGATACTGTCCAAGCGAATTGCAAGATCCAGCTCAGTAACTCCCAGTGTTAGCTCAGTTTGAAGTGCTACTATCCGACGGTGAAGGCGGCAAAGAATGGAAAGCGCCGACGTTTTCTTGGGCTTACATGATTTCCTGGAGCGCATGCGCCAACCATCTGCCGCCGATTTTGTCAAAGCAATTAAGAGGTTTTTACTTTACAACTATCAACATCAAAATTTCCATCTCTCCATGTTTTCGATTCGACTCTCCGACGTTTTCCGTCTCTGTTTATCACCGTCAAATTCCAATGTTCTTGCGTTTGTTGATTTCTCTTCGCAAGTGACATGTTACGTTTTTCCATTTTTTGGGTAGATTTTCCCAAGTGAAATGCTTCGTGGAGAAGATCTGGACTTTGATTTGATGGTTTCTCTGAGGTTTAAAAACTCAGGCAGTTTTAGTCTGTGATTCAACATTCAAAATTATGTTGTGTTGATCAACAGAGTGAATAATCATAACTTATAGAACGCTTTTCGCAAAGTATATCATGATAAGAAGTTGGCACCAATAAAAAGCTCTATCCTTTATGAGATCATGGTACTGTCAAGGAAAATCTTGTGAGTGGGAAACTTTATTTTGCAGCTTTATTGTATCATTCTCGAATAATGCTCCAGATCCAGAGAGGGATAGTGCCGCTGTACAGCAGTTCCTTGCCAATATGGAAGCAGCTTTCAGGGCTCATCCACTATGGGCTGGGTGCTCTGAGGAAGAGCTGGAGAGTGCTGGTGAAGTATGTTCCAATTTAACTTTACTTTCTTTCTGAATTACTGTGAAGTATTTGGTGGCTTTGATTTGAGGCTTTCTTCGTGATAAGCATTATTGTTGACATAAACTGCCATGGCCAAACATTGATCCTTCTCTTTCCATTTCACTTTCTTTTACTACGCTATGAAGAGTTTGTCAGCCTATGCTCAACCAAAAGGAAAGGAGCTTAAAAATGAAGAGAACAAAATATAGATGACTTACAAATAAGGCCTTTTGTTTTCACACATCTTATCTAGTTCATGCTTTATTGGTATTACAGTTTTATTTTCACTCCCTTTGTTGGGATGATTGATTTGAGTTAATTATACAATGGCTACAACTGACTTCCCCTCCTGTGTTGCTTTCTGTTAGAGATCATTTCTTGGTTTTTCTGTATTTTATGATGGACAATTGCAGAAAGATCTAATAAATTGACAACGTTGGATGTATAAAATTTAAATTTAAGACAGGCTCTAATCTGGCAATTTGGATACAATGCTACACAGTCATGGGGGGTGCAATAGTACTTGTACAAGCGCTAGAGGCCTTTTCATGGATGTTGTTAGAGGAAGTTATGGTTTTCTGTGTCTAATGCTTAACCCCTTATGGTGAGTGTTGGACTGCACATTATGCTTCCATGCACCTCAACCTCATACTATCTATCACTGGTCAGAGAGACATTCTGAGGATGCTTATTTTCCAAAGTTTAAAGTGTTTTTAATTATTAGAGTGAAAAACTATTCTATAAAAAAATAATAAGAGTGACAATTTTCTAACCACTTCTTTTTTCGGCCAAAAATTTTGCTAACCACTTTTAAAAAAGGCTCTATTCTGTTAACCTTTAGTTACAATGTGCCGCAGTCATCCATAGCAATCTCTTCTTTTCATTTGCTAATTAAAATAGATAAACCATGTCCCCTCTTTTCCCCCTGAATTTGTTGATGCATTGTGTATATATTGCAATTGACAAGTACAACAATGATGACAACAATAACGAGTCTTATCCCAATAGATCAGGTCAACTACATGGATTACATGATGTCATTGTACTCTATGTGTTAAAATTAGTATCTCAATATATATGATTTAAATAAGATAAGAAGTTAACATGTGCACCTGAAGAATTCATGGCTTATGATTCCTTGATTACTTCGAGTCTAGGCAGACACACAACCTATTAGGCCCCTATGGTTTTCAGAGTGCAGAGAAAGTAGAGAGAATAGAAAGAGACTGGTGTTGGCTATTGACCAGTCATATCTAATTATACGAATCATATTAGTAACCACCTCAATAATAAATAAATAAATAAATTATATCTTTTAAATATCTTTGATTTGGTTAGTTAAGAGATAAGAAATAACTATGTTGCAGAGTTATAGGTTGGGCCTTTAGGCTCACTTACGTGATCCACAAAGGATTATAAAGACCAATTTATTTTGGATGTACTAATTAATGCTAATCCATAAATATTTTATAAATATTCCAACACTATCATCAACCAAGCTTTTAGGAATATTATTAACTAAGAGGTCTTGTTTAACGACTTCCATAAGTATTCTCTTTGATTTCCTTCTACCACTCTTTACAAGGCTTAAGACTATCTGCTCCACTATCCTCATATATCGTTTTAAATTTCTGATAATTTATCTTGTTTGCCTACTTGTTAATGTCTATGTACTTCAACAGTTAAAACCCAGCCTTGAAATCTCTATGAAGGAAATAATTTCAAGAGGACTTGTTCCCTCTGGTTCTATTAAACTGTAACAGTTGTACTGTTAAAATCAGTTTCAGCATTCATATGGCTTTTCTGGCTGAGATGACTGCTAGAGAACTGAAATTTTGCTCTACCTCTGTATACTTTATTCGTTTTGAATTGAAAGCAATATATATGGCTTCTCCCTGTAACTTGTTCTGATACTGCTTGGCTTCATCTATTCTTTTATCTCTTTACCCGTGGGCTTCACTCATATACAGGGGCTGGAGAAGTATGTCATGACGAAGTTATTTACCCGTGTATTTGCTTCACTTCCAGATGATGTAAAACTTGATGAACATCTTTCTGAAAAGATTGCTTTGATTCAACAGTTCATTCGACCAGAAAATTTGGATGTCAAATCAAATTTTCAGAATGAAACATCATGGTTGGTGAGTGTATAACTACAAATTCAAAGTGGGTTCATTCTTATCTTTGTTTTCTATTTAGACATTGAATGTGTTCTCATGTCACAACATTTAGTTGTATTAAAACTTACTTCCAATAAATGCTGTATACATACTGGATTTGATTTTCTTATTATTCAGTATTTTATATAAATTATATTTATATATATATATATATTAACTGGAAATTGTATATGCTGAATTTGTTAGCTGGAGAAAAATTAATTTCAATAAGTGTCCTTGAATTGGGTTCTATCTTTGGCAACTGAATACAGCATTTAACTTGTTTATGGCTTTCCATGTCCCTGCACTTAGCTAATTCATGTTTTTTCAATAAATTCTCAGACCTTACTGCTGTAGTCTTATTTGTTATATACTGTTTGCAGCTTGCTCAGAAGGAGTTACAGAAGATCAACATGTACAAGGCACCCAGAGACAAACTAGTGTGTATCCTGAATTGTTGCAAGGTTATCAACAACTTACTGATTAATGCTTCTATTGCTTCAAATGCAAATCCTCCAGGAGCTGATGAATTTCTTCCTGTGCTGATTTACGTTACCATAAAGGTAATCTCAACATTTTAGCATTGAATGACTGCTAAAGATGATGATTCAGCTTCACACAACATGCTTCCTAAATATTTATCAGTATGCATACCTGTAGCATTTATTTTTAATTTTTTGTCATTGTGTCTTATTTTACTCAATATGCACTAGATTTGGAACAAATGTTGCTTGCAGTTTTGTAAAATTATGTGGAAGTGTTTAGAACAAATGCCAGGACCAATGAAAAGTAAGAAAAATACACAATAATTCTATTCAAATTCATTGATAAAAGGGTGAACGTATGTCATGAATGATATGCCTCTTCATAGATGGCTTAAACAATCTGTATTCCTGACTATGCTAGTAGAAATAACTCACATAATCCACCTAAGCTATTTAGTGTGTTTAGTTTTTAGTTTGTCAAAAGTTCATTTAGTAAAAGTTAGTTTATTGAAAGTCAGTTATTGTAATAAAATTTGTATTTGTATACATTTTTTCAAAAGTCAATTTGGTATACTGAAAGTTGTTTGGATTATGACAGTAAAATGTTCTTTTGAATGTACAATTGTAAAAAAGGATATTGATTTATGATAATTTAAATTTTTTATTATACAAATGTAATATATTTAAAATATTTAAAAAATGTGATAAAAATTTTAAATAATATAAAATTTGATCTATAATGCTAAAAACTTTATCTCTAATTATTTAAACTTCTTTAATTTGTAATTTTAAAAAATATGATAAAGATTTGTAATTTTTATTATACATTAATGTTAAAAATTAACATGATTAATTATTCAATTTGTAATCTTAAAGACTTGATATCTAATTATTATTATTTAAATTATAATTATATTTTTAATGAATTAACTATTTTTTAAATAAAAGAATAAGAGAGCAAAATAACATCCATATTTCAAACCCACATTTGAAATCCACCAAAAAGTAGAGTTTTAAAATCCACATTTCAATCTCATTTCAACCTACTTTGTGGAGTCATTTTGCTCCCTAAAAAGTTACCCAAACAACTTTTAACATTTCAAAAGTTCAAAAGTCCATCCCAAATGTTAAATGAGAGAAAACCAAAGCACGCTTAAAAACTCCAGAAATCGTAATTCCCAAATGGAAACAACCCCTACCCCTAACCAAAAAAAAAAAAAGAGTGGAAAGAAACTTACTAATCTATCCAAAGATCTAAACAACTTTGGTAGCCTCAATGGAATGGGAACCTTGTTCTATTGAACAACAATCAAGATTGTAATGTCTTTGACACCCTAGTTAATAGTTATCATACTTAATGGTAATTTTTTTTTTAATTCATCCAATGGTCCAAATGACATTTCACATTTATAAAATCACATTATTACTTTTTTCTTTTTTAATTTCATTCCATTTTGTGCATCAAACTGGGTTTAGAGCTTAAATTCCCAAAGTACTGATTATAAGTCCTGAATTACTGTGAAATAGAATTAATTAGGAATTATTTCAGAATTATCTTGCTCCTAATTTATAGGGATAGTAAGGCGAGATTATGGGAGAAAATAAGGGGACTTAATCATTTTTTTTAATCTTTCCGTGTTTAGCTGATCTTGTAACCTATATATAATCATAGTATTATTGAAATAATACATATACTTCTAATCAATGAAGCTATATGGTGTCAAAACTGACCTTAAGAACGCTAAAGTCGACAATCGACCAAGAAGGGAGTCATTATCAAGCAGTTTGAGAACTCGTCCTATGAGTTCTGGCGCCGAGACTTCCCAATCTAACACCCATGGCGGAACTCCCCACAGGTTGAGTTTTGCAGAAGGGTCACCTGTCCTTATCGTGTCTGATAGATTCAACGGACACAACTATCGCAAATGGGCTCAAGCTATAAAGCTTGCCATTGGAGGTTGTGGCAAATTGAGCCTCATCACTGGTGATTCCAAAGCTCTAGACGGGTCAGACGCAAAGGCTGTAATGAAGTGGGAGACCGAGAACTCGATGGTGGCTTCATGGCTAATCGCGGCTATGGCTCCACAGATCCAATGAGCATTCATGTTCTTGCCGATAGCAAAGGATATTTGGGATGCAGTTTGCGAATCATATTCTGATGGTGATGACTATTCTCATATATATGATTTAAAAACAAAAAGTTGGCAAGTGAAGCAAGGTGATCGTGACCTTATAGAATTCTAGTTAGAATTGATTGCAGTGTGGCAGGAGATCTACCTTAACACTGAAGAGGAGTGGTCATGTGCTCGAGATGTTGCAAGGTACAAAAAATGGGTTGAGGATGAGCGGGTGTTTCAGTTCTTGGTTGGCCTTCATCAATCTCTAGATGATGTTCGTAGTAGAATCTTAGCTCACTCCCCATTACCTTCAACTCGTGATACATTTGCTGAGGTCTACAGAGAGGCTTTTTATCGAAAGGTGATGCTTATTGACTTTGTTTCAATTTCTTCTTCATCTGAACCTTCGGCTCTGGTAAGCAGGAACCTTGATCAAGGATCAAAGGAGACAAAAGGGAAGGTTTCATGTGATCACTATAAAAAGACTGGTCATAGCAAAGATAAGTGTCGGGATCTTCATGGGAAGCCTCTTGACTGGATACCACACAAAGGGGAAGGCATGTGGGTACCAAGATGCTCCTGAAAAGGCCCTAGACAAGTTTGGGTCTATGCCCATAATTGATAAAGACCAGTTAGTGAAGCTCCTGGAGATGCTACATACACTATAGCAATTTGAGTTATCATCTCAAACGTCACACAGTGCTTTTGTTGCCAAGCAAGATAACCATTATGCCTTGAATACTTCCTTTCTTAAATCCTAGTGGATTATTGATTTTGGAGCCTTAGATCATATGACTGCGAACTCTACTTTGTTCACATCATATTCTCCATGTAGTGGGCGCAAAAAAAATTGATACTGCAAATGGCACATCTTTTTCTATTGCTGGAAAAGGAAGCATTACTATTTCTGATTTCTTACACTTGGATTCAGTACTTCATGTACCATATCTAGCTTGTAATCTATTGTCTACAAGTAAGTTGACCAAGCACTGTAGTGCTCATTTCTTTTCTACTCACTGTATTTTTCAAGATCTCTCATTGGGGAAAATGATTGGCAGTGCTAAGGAGTATGATTAGCTTTACTATCTTGATGAATCAACCGTGAGTAATCTTTGGTCTCAAATTCGGTGTAATCTTGTGTCCACCTCTAAAATAATGATTTTTTTGTCTTGGCATAAAAGAATAGGTCATCTTATTGTCCAATATTTGAGTTGTTTGTTTCCTCATTTTTCATCAAATAAAATCTCTAGTTTTCATTGTGACACGTGTGAATTGGCTAAGCACCATCGTTCTTCTTTTTTGCGCTCTGAATATAAATCTTGCAAACCATTTTCTATTATTCATAGTGATGTGTGGGGTCCCTCGTGTGTTTCGAACTGTACTCAAGCCAAATGGTTTGTTACCTTCATAGATGATCATACTCATGTATGTTGGGTATACTTAATAAAAGAGAAATCTCATGTAACCCAAATATTTGTTGAATTCTACACCATGATTCTTAACTAATTCCATACTTCAATATAAATTCTTCAAACTAATAATGACACTGAATACCTAAACCAGGCTATGAGTGACTTCTTGAAAATGAAAGGTATAGTTCATAAAACCACCTGTGCAAATAGCCCTCAACAAAATGGCATAGTTGAGCATGAAAATAAACACTTACTGGAAGTTGCTTGTGCCCTTATGTTCACAACTCATGCCAAAAATTTTTTGGGGAGATGCTATCCTTATTGCAGCTTATCTTACAAACCACATGCCAAGCAAAATCTTAACTTATGTCACTCCACTCGATTGTCTTCATGAAACTCATTCCTTTAATCACCTTGAAACTAATCTTCCATTGTGAATATTTGGATGCTCAGCCTTCGTTCATCTCACACCCCCCTCCAAACTTGACCCTAGGGCAGTCAAATGTGCGTTTATTGGGTATTCCTCTTCCCAGAAAGGTTATAAATGTTTTGATCCGTCCTCCAAACGCTTATTTGTTAGTCATGACGTTACTTTCTCCGAACATGAATCCTTCTATTCCACTCCTTCAATTCAGGGGGAGAGTTAGAGTGAATTTCAACCGTTCTTTGAGTACTCTTCTATTCCTATTCTCGATGCCCCTGAGCTTACGTCTGTCGCTGCCTTTGAGTCTTCTTTTATTCCAAAAACAAAAGATCATGCTAGTACAAGGGATAATAAGGACACAGATGTCACGGAAAAAGAGACCATCATTACAAACGAAAGAGTAGGTAAGGTACTAAGTTTATCGCACCTAAGGTTGGCCATGATTCAAAACTGGTGAGAAATTCTGTTGAAGAAAATGAGAATATCATAGAGATGCCTGGTGAAAATCATAATACAGGGGAGGATCCAGAAGAATTGGAGAATGATTTGAATCTTCCTATTGCCCTCAGGAAGAAACATCATTCCTGTACACAACATCCAATTCAAAAGTATATGTCATATGAGGCATTATCCCCTAGGTACCAAGCCTTCATTGCAAATATTGATGATGTTAGTATTCCAAATAACATCCAAGAGTCTTTAAATTCACCAGAATGGAAAAAAGCTGTCTTAGAATAAATGAAAGCTCTAGAGGAAAATGGAACTTGGGAGGTTGCGAGTAAGCTCGAGAATAAGAAGCTTGTGAGTTGCAAGTGGGTGTTCACTCTTAAATACAAGGTCGATGGGAGTTTTGAAAAACTAAAAGCTCGGTTGGTAGCAAGAGGGTTCACACAAACATATGGTATTGACTACTAGGAAACCTTTGCACCAGTAGCCAAGTCGAACACCATCAGAGTGTTGTTATCTATAGCAGCAAACCTTGACTGGCCATTACACCAGCTAGACATCAAGAATGCCGTCTTAAATGGAGATTTGAAAGAGGAAGCCTACATGACTCTTCCTCCCGGATTTGATGATGGGAAAGGTGATTAAGTGTGTAAGCTAAAGAAATCCTTATATGGATTAAAGCAATCACCAAGAGTGTGGTTTGACAGATTCTCACAAGTCCTTAAGTCTTAAGGCTATAAACAAGGACTATTGGATCACACCATGTTTGTCAAAATTGAAGGAGGTAAGAAATATATTCTCATTGTGTGTGTTGATGATATAATTATTTCTGGTGATCACAGTGAGGAAACAATAAGGATAAAGTTGATTTTGAGTCAAGAGTTTAAAGTCAAGGATCTTGGGAAGTTAAAATACTTCTTTGGAACGGAAGTTGCAAGATCAAAGCAAGGTATTTATGTATCTCAAAGAAAATACATACTTGATCTCTTAAAGGAGAAAAGGATGTTGGGGTGTACACCTGTTGAGACACCTATCGTTGTTCCAAAGAAGAGATAGAAGACCAAGACGACGGAAGAAGACTCCAATGAAGAAATTGAACTAGTTGAAGAAGGAGACGAGGAGACAGAGAACCCAGTAGATAAAGGGAGATATCAGAGACTTGTAGGGAAACTCTTCTACCTCTCTCATACACAACCTAACATAGCTTTCACAGTAAGTGTAACTAGTTAGTATATGTGCGAACCAAAGGAAAAACATATGGAAGCAGCATACAGGATTCTAAGATACCTAAAGGGTACCCTTGGTAAGGGTTTGTTGTTTAAAAAACATGATCGAAGAACTATAGAAGTATACACTGATGCAAATTGGGGTAGACACCATCTAGATAGAAGATCTACTTCTGGATATTGCTCATTTTTGTGAGGAAATCTAGTTATTTGGAAAAGTCAGAAGCATAGAGTTGTCTCCAAGAGTAGTGCTAATCTGAGTTAAGGGCACTGGCTCAAGGCATAATGGAAGAAATATGGCTAAAACAAGTACTAGAAGAACTTCATGTCAAATTGGATCTACCTCTAAGATTGTACTGTGATAACAAAGCTGCTATAAGTATGGCCTTAAATCCATTACAACATGAGAGGTCAAAACATGTAGAGATTGACAGGCACTTTATCAAGGAGAAGGTAGAAGATAGGATAATTTGTTTGACCTTTTTACCAACAAATCTTCAAGCAGTAGATATGTTGACCAATGGATTACATAAGCCCGCCTTTGAAAATTGTATGAGCAAGTTGGACATGATTAGCATTTATGATTCAACTTTAGGGGGGTGTGAAATAGAATTAATGAGGAATTATTTCAGAGTTATCTTGCTCCTGATTTTTAGGGATAGTAAGGCGAGATTACGGGAGAAAATAAGGGGACCTGATTCATTTTTTTATTCTTTTCGTATTTAGCTGATCTTGTGACCTGTATATAATCATATTATTATTGAAATAATACATATACTTCTGATCCACGAAAGCTACAATTACAAATTAGAATAACATCATAAATTAGTAAAATAAAAATAGTTTTATTACATCATAAAAGAATAGTTTTACACTCAAATAAGCATGAAGAAGTCTTTGTAATTTCCGTGACAAGGGTTAATTTGGATTTTGACATGTTGCATTCATCAATTAGTTAGTAATGAGAATACCATTAATCATGGCATGGATCTTGTTGTCCAGAAATCTTTATATTATAATTCATTTGATGCTGATTAGGTGAATGCACTATTTTCTGCTTTAAAAGAGCTTGGGTTGAAGTTCAGACTACTAATGGAGCCAGAGTTATTCTTATGGCCTTATTTTTTACATGTTTAAAAAGTTCTCAAGTTTTGTGTTTAGCACTGAAGATTGAAGATCGGTGAAGCTTGGCAAATGAGAATGAATGCCATGACATACTTGAATTATAATTTACGATTGTATATTGCTCTGGTACATACTTGAATGTTTTATTCTCGCCTGCCAACTTAAAAGTAAAACACATCATCTAATTTATATGGTACCATAGGGTGGCTAAAGCATAAAAGCTATGCATACCTGATATTCTCATAATTTTTTCCTTCCTGGGTGCCATTTAATGTGGACATTGATTGTTTTTTTGAAGCTGTATATCCTTTTCCGTTTCTCATCAATGTTACTATGCAGGCAAATCCTCCACAACTTCACTCCAACCTACTATACATACAAAGGTTTAGACGTCAATCACGATTGGTTGCAGAAGCAGCTTACTTTTTTACAAACATGCTCTCTGCTGAGTCCTTCATCAGAAACATTGATGCTAAAGCCGTTTCAATGGATGAAGCTGAGTTTGAGAGAAACATGGAATCTGCTCGTGCTGTTCTCTCTGGGCTTTCAACTGATCTGCAAGATCAGCCCAGATTACCTTTTCAAAATTCTGGAGATCATTCAAGAACAGAACCATTTAAGGAGTCTGCATCACAGACCAAGCCATCTGAATCGAAATCTGAAAATAAGAAAGTAACTTTTGAAGATCAGTTACCATTGACAAAGATTCCATCCCTCTCAGATTTGGAGAATAAAGGGGCAAGCATGCTTTTGAAGGAGGATGGAGTGAATGAAGTTTTCAGGGAGTATCCATATTTGTTTGCTCGCGCTGGTGATCTAACAGTCAGTGATGTGGAAGACCTGCTAAATAGTTACAAGCAACTTGTTATCAAGTACGTATGTCTTTCCAAGGGGTTAGGTGTTTCTCCTACATCTCATCCTCCATCTGATACACAAAATAATGTACAAAATCTCGTTGAAACCAAAATAGATTCTTCAGATAGTGGACCTGTGGATGCAGATGAAAAAACAGAAAAATCTCCGGATAGGACAGAGGATACTTCTGAGGGAGTATCACTTTCTAGGGAGAAAAATCTTGAATGCGATCTGCCGCCCCAGGATGAGGCAGCTGCACCTCAGGCTGGAGGCAGTTTAGAATCCTCTAACTAATAGCAACTAGCATCTAGATTTTTCTTTATTTTTATTTTAGTTCGCATTTTTCATGTAATATTAGTTTCTGTTTTCCGTTCTGTGATGGCTGCCATAGCTTTCCTTTTCATACGGGTTGGCAATGCCACCCTTTGATACTAAATGAACTCCTTTTCAGAATTTTGAGATCCTATGAGAAAGTTATCGAGAACGAGTGTGAGATTTGGCATTTATATTGCAATAGATGAAATGAATGCTTGTAAACTTGCAAATTAGTTTCATTAATCAATGTATAATCATATTAATGCCGGGAAAAATGCCTGTTCGTTATGATACTATTTATGAATTCTGCATGTATTTATAATCCAAGGCAGATTATGTTTCTAATGAATAAATTCCCTCGTTAGCTTTAGGTTGCCACATTGATAGGCCTATTATATATAAAATGCCCATGTTTTAACTCCAATTTGTGCCGAAGGCCGTTGAATTGGACTTTGCAATCATGATTTTACGTATGTTTGCATTGATTGGGCTGAAACACACTGAGATTACACTGGAAGAGGAGCTCATGATGCTAGTAAATAGTAGTGATCATGGTCGATGATGGATCCACAATGCACGGCTCCAACCGACCCTCGCTATTAATCCGAGGTAAATAAACAATCACAACTGGTGCCAGGCTACAGGCTATCCGATGTCAGTTTCGTATATTGCTGGGAAAACAGTGCTTTGCGAGCACAACTGACATTAGTCGTCAGTACGCTCCACGAGTAATATGCTTGTAGGGCTTGATTTATTCGCAAGGCATGAAATCAATGTTGGCAAGTTTTGCACTAAGATCAATTAATTAGTAATCGGATATTCTGCTGGATTTGACACCTGAAATCCTCCAAACAATTTCGTTACAGTAATTGACCATATATACTTATAGGGTTGAGGCGTTAAGCCAATCAAGTTTTTGGTGTTATTGAGAACATGTTAAATTTTGTCTTGACTAATTGTGGAGCACGCTATTCATACTTGCAAATTTGTAAAGAACCAACCTAGTGACATTAATTTTGCGAATTTCTTGTGTTCAGTTTGCGGGAATAACTCTAGATTTAGCAATTTGTTTCATTTCCTTTATGTGTAAGGTGCTGCATGGCCATTGGAACTGAATGTACAGTTACACAATCTACAAATCAGATTCGACCCGCATATGAACCAAAGCGTGAAATGTAAAGGGCATATAATTAATTGGAAACAGATATGGTTAAGAGTTGTTTCTTCCACATATTCAAACTCAAGAGGAGCTTGATTGGGATAGATACGTTAAATCATGCATATCATATCAAGAAATTATCTTGTGCTTTTTTTTGACACCGGTGGATAGCACCACTCCCGTGTCCCTTCGCTCTTGTATTCTTCTGATAAGTCTTATTCACTTAATAATGCAAGTATCATACTGGTAATGCTGCCTCCCCGTCCAATTTGTTGAACCACATAAATTAGCCAGTATTCATGCTTTCATAAAAATTTGCATACATGGTGCCTTGGTTGGCTGTGAATTTCAGGATCTGGGCCAATTGAAAATTTGACTCGTCAATAAAAACTAAAAGCAAGGCCGTGATATGAGGTCTCTCAGTTAAAGTCCATCCTTAAGCTCACTCGAGGGAAGAGATATCTTTAGAACGTAGTGAAATAAATAATCTAAAGGGCGTTCAAATTAGAGAGAGATAGATCACAGACAGGCATGTCCTCCTGTTTGAAGACAATCTTTGGTGATAGCTATGTTTTTAGGTGGTTCACTAACCAGATCTATGCCCATTTTGCTTTGTTTATTGTACTTCATCAATTATTGTTGGTCATCTTTATGGGCACTTTCCCCTGGACACGCCTGCTTTATAAAAATTTCCCACATGAAATCCTCTGTTCTGTTGTTTTCCCCTTTTTTTGTAGATATAATCACCTAAAGTGTAGGTTTTCCTAATCCTGTACCTTCAAATAGATGGTTCCAGGAGCCAGAGTTATGATTTTAGAATCATGACCAGGTGCATGTGGATGTTGGAAAAGGTTGGTTCCGGAAGCGAAATTCTTTTGCTTCTTTTTGAAGTTATACGATTATGATTAAAGAAAGCCCCATAGAAGTCAGGAGGAGGAAATCAGGAAACTGATAGTATGAGCAAAAATATCCAGATAATTATTCATTATCTCGTGCCAACCAAAACCTTCGTGGTTTTTTAAAAAAATGGAATTGATTTATTATCGGAAATTGTAAATAATGTAACTTATTTTAAACTCTGCATAAATATAAGATATCCACTTTAATTTTATTTCAATCTTTATCATCTGAGTTATAAATAAGATTCATGTATAAACAATATATGTGCGTGTGTGTATTAATATTTAGCTTGAGGTATCAAATATGTCTATTAATGATAGAAAAATGGAGGTAATACTCCCGTGAAAATTGTCTACGTGCAAATTATGGTTTATTTTGGCAACAACCGACTAGTTTTTCAAAGCTAACATGTAGCACCTGTCCTTATTGGAATAATGCGGAAGTTAAAATAATATATTTGTAAGACAAAAACTAAAATAATGCTTTATCCAACGGAATTTCAAACTTGTACTGCAACTGTGCAACATATATTTCATATTTGGGTGAGTTTGGTAATGTCTAATCATTAATATTGATACTTAGGCCAAAAAAAAAAGTCATTCATATTGTTAGATAAATTATAAGACACTCCCTTCTCTCAAATTATAAGAGAAGTTTGAAAAAGATTGCTCATATCAATAAAACATAATAATAATATTTTATAAATTTATTTTTTAAAAATAAAATTATAAAGTTTTAAAAATACCTCTACACACCTAATCATTATGGTACAATATCATTTCAATTCTTTTTTCATTTAAAGAGTAACATTAAAAAAATATTATTAATGAAACTTTATTTTTCTTAAATTGTCTTATATTTTAGGACAATACTATACTTTTAATTTTATCTTATAATGTGAGATGGAGGGAGTACTTGTTAACTAATTATTGGAACACATTCTTCACATATAAATTCAAAAAATTCATCACAAATTTTATAACATTGTTTTAAAAATCAAACTGAACTGAATGATCAAACTTGTTAGATTATTAATTAGACCCATTAATGACTCAATTTGAATTAAAAAATTTATTTTTATAATTGAGCCAGATTGGATTGGAATTAAGCAAAAAATTAAAGTTGAACTAGGAACTAGAACGATTTTCAAAAAATAGATAATTTTAAACATAATATCAAAAAAGCTTAAATTTTTTTTAAAAAAATAGAAAAATTATAAAATTAGATCATACTAAAAGAAAACTTTATTATTAGATAATTTACATGTATAAAATATAATTTAAAACCATTTTTTATAACGATGTTGACATTTATATGTGCAAATGTATATATTTTTGAATCTATTCATATTTAATTTAATCAATATTCACTTATATTTGACAAATTATAAAATTATAATTTTGTAATATCATTAATTTTATGGTCATATTATGTCATTTTATTAACATAATATAGATTTTTTTTCTTATGTTTATTTTATATATACATTTAATATTATTTTTATTTAATTATTATATCACTGGTTTAATAGTTGGTCACATCATAAAAATCAAGAATAGCTAACTTTTTCAATTTAATTTTCAATCTGACTTTTAAAACATTACTTCATAGGACTAAGTCAATATCATTGATTTTTTGCAAACTGATTTTTCTATTCTTTATTTTAAAATTTTAATTGCTGTCTCAAAACCAAGGATGAACAGTTTAATTTTTTATTTAAAATATTTTTTTTAAAATTTCCCACTTAAATTTTTAATGTTTTTATGATTTAAAATAAAATATCAAAATTTAAAAAGTCATTTAAATTTTTTGTATTATTTAAGTAACTGTTGAAAAAAGACCAGAAAAATGAGCTTGAATTTGTGGGAGCAAAATGGATGTCCACTTCAGCAGATTTATCACACCCCTGAAATTTTAGTTTTTGCGTTAAATTTGTGTTATTAAGCGGTGGAATTTGGATTTTCAAGTAAGAGGCGAATAAAACATGAGAAATTGGGACATGGATCATGTGCAATGGAGGCCGTGCAGTGACTGGGAAGTAAAAAATCCTGATCATGAATTTTTATCTACTGAATAGTTAAAAATAGGTGTATAAGAGGCTCCTGATTTGCAAACACACAATCACGCATTATTCAAAATAAAAATTTATAAAAAAATATAATATTTTTAATAAGTCTATTAATTATTAATTTGAACCATACAGATTATACTTGAATAATTCAGTTTAATATTAATTTTTTATTTTTATAAATTGAATATCTAAATATATACTGAACAATTCAGATTTTGATTTGAGTTCATATTTAAAATTTTTAACCTGTAATTTTTCAAAAATATTTTTTGAAAAGTGCTTGAAATATTATCTTAATTTTTAATATTATATTATCAAAATAAAAACTTATAATAATTATAAAATTTCAATATTAACTATAAACTATTATAGTATATTTGAATGGTCAATTTATAAAAAATAAAAAATTAATACTAAATTAGATTATTCAAATAAAATTTATATTATTTAAATTAATGATTAACAGATTTATTAAAAACAGTAAATATTTTTTTATAAATTTTTATTTTGAATAAAAAAAATATGATTACGTATTTGTAAATGAGGAATTCTTTTATACACCTGTTCTCACCAGTCATTAGATAAAAATTCATGGTTAGAATGTTTTACTTTCCGTCCACTACACGGCTTTCCACCGCATATGATCCGCATCCGCGAAATTGTTACACGAAAACATGATCTCTCAGCGTTACACTGGGAAAGCAGAAATGGCGTAATGGTGATGCCAACATGAGTTACAGAAAACTGAAAACAAATGTGAAAGAAAAAGACAAGCACAGTAAAGCAAGCATACCTCATGATAGCAGTTTACTTGAGAAACTATGAGTTATCATAATAACCTTCCCGGATTATTGGCTTCTGGGTGGTTTATGTTGCCCTCCTTCATTATGTATGTTGTCTTTTGACGCTTTGACCTTATCATCAACAACTTTTTCACAAGCTTTGGGCCAAGCACCCTCCACCTTCACTTTGCTTTGAATTTGCCTTCAAATGACAACACTAGCAAGAAACAGAGCCGGGATTTTAGTCCCACCTGTCGACCATGAAAGCACTTGATGCGGTAAAATGAGTATTAGAGTAAGTATATTATCTTTGGTCAACCACTTTTTTTTTTATTATTATTATAAAAGATGTAGGATTGGTTTCAGTGGAAATTTAAGGGGGGGCAAGGTTTTGGTCAGCTTAGGACTTTTACCTAGGAACGTGTGTGTTTTAGCATAATCATCTTGCTTGAGATCTGGATCTCAACACACAGTCACAGACAGAGAAGCTTGTCTCATTAGTCCTTTCCTGCCATTAAATTTTTGTATTGATCATCAGTTCAATACATGAATTACAAAGACAACGATTCCCTCGCCAAGCAATATCTGATGTTTAATTGTTTTTTCCATCTGATCATGTTTGTTCTAGATAGATAATTATACATTATTGTTACTCGTTATTCATATAAATATTAAATCAAATCCATTAATAGAGTGGATAGAGAAATTATCAGCATAATGAGAAAATATTATAATTCCATTTAATCATGCCGACTTTTTTTTTGGGGGGGGGGGTATCTTCACCTTTTCCGGGATTAAGTAAAGGATCGCAGTAAGTACGCGTCGGTTTCCACAATCAATCAAACTCTCAAACGCCTAATCCCATTTTCCGTTTTGCGTCTGCCTCTTCCTTCGCCGAACCATCTTCAACTTTCTCTCTCTCAGCTTTTCTCTGTTTCATAACTGAAGTGAGTCAACTAAGGAACATGAGCAATGAAAATCATCGCCAGCACCACCATCGGTTTCAGCATCAGAAGCTGCATATCCAGGAAAAAACCACATTCCTGCCGATGCTCTGTTCAAGGCCTTCAATCAAAGATGTGAGCCTTCCGAGGTGGAGGGATCCGCCGGCGTCCGTCTCCGATGACCCTTCGTCCCCTAGGATCGGCTGCATGGGCCAGGTCAAGAGGAACAACAAGATAGTTGGGTTCCCTACTTCCCATAGACTCACCAACACGTCCATGTCCCCTGCTGCTATTGGCAAGTACTCCAAGCTTAAAAGGCTCTTCTCCGGAAAAAGCTCGAGCGCCACTCCGGCCACCGTCACTGCTGCTTCTACTACCTGTGGAAGAAGGGTTCAAGTGAGTAATGCTGATAGGTTCAGGAATGAGAACGAAGCTTCTGCAGCTTTGAGCATTGAGAATATGGATCCGCCATTGCCGGTGATCAAGAGGGTGCAGAGGAGCTCCGAAGAAGAAAGCCAGGCTGACAGTCTTTGGAAAAGGAGGTCTGGTGGCGTTGCATTGAAAAGTCTGCAGCTTCAACAGATTCATCATCCAAGGCTTCATATTCAACCTACCAGTGTTTGATCACAGAATCTTTGCACTCGAACTCTGAAAGGGAAGATGGATGAAAGCCTTCTTCCCCCTCCTTTTTTTCTTTCATTCGGGATTTCTCATATAACATAATGTAAATGGCCATGTCTTGTTTGATTTTCTGGAGTACATAAGATGATGGTGATGAAGAATCCAGGTCAATACTGTTGAGTTCCAGCAATGAAAGTAACTAAAAAGCTTAACTCTTGGGCTAAAATCACAGAAACAATTAGGCATGAGAAGGATCAGCTTTTCGATGAAGACGCCACAGCAGCGGGAAAATAGTCCCATTTAGAAGCAATTTTTTTATTCATAGCACTATGATCTGTCAGTTTGTTTGTTTATCTTCTTTTTTTTTCGTTGTTTTTTTTTTTTTTCCTTTGGGTTTTGGGGTTGGGGGGGGGGGGCGCGGCGAAGATCTATGGTCAATTCTAAGAAACTATGAAGTCTGCAATTTCACATGGAGAAAGCGAGGTTCCGACGTCATACTCCCACCGGCAATATGAAGTCCATTAATGAGGGAAGATGAGGAACACCAAAACTGGGGCACAAGTCAAGAATACAGGCCACGGGAAAGATGCAGTTTCAATGAATTGGATTAAAGGTCAGCCTTTGCCCCTTATCACCCATCAACAAGCTAGTCTTCAATAAAGGCTACTGAACCAGGAATTAGATTTCATAATTTTCATTGCCCGAACGACGGTTCACATTAAATATTTTTTTAATTATTATTATTATTATTTTTTGGCCAGAGGTTCACGTCACTCAAAGTTTAACTAAATATTTAACGATGTGAAAGTCGTTAACAAATTATTTCTAACTCTAAATATGTGTTCCGGCTTTTACAGTGACATTGGCTCTATAGAAATTCGCATCCTTAAACATTTGTTTAAACTCATAGTAACAAATTCCCGTTGAGAGGAAGGCGGAACGAACTTCCCGTTAACCAGCCATCTTCCTTGCTACAGAGTCAGGCTGGGACTACGTTCAACATTAAATGATAACCTCCGGGAAGAGCACATCGTGCAACCGCCTAATCTCAAGAATCATGGAAGGGCTTATTCTTTGAACTGTAGTTTATTTACAATATAGCAGACCCCAGTGCACATACATAAACTACCTCGTGACAATACAGATACCAATATGAGATTTCTTGCAAGGCAAATTAAACCTTTTCTTTTTGGCGTACATTAAGCCTTTTTTAAAAAAGCATTACAATTACTCTAACCTAGTATCTAAACTACACAAATCCCTACTACATCCGCCATCAACCTTGTTCTTTATAAGCAATCCAGATCAATTTGCCAACATCAACCTCCAGACCCCACTGGCCAAAAAACAAAAAACAAAAACCCCCAGACCGGCTTTAAAATGGCGATCCCATACCCTTTGGATCTGCGCAAATCACATGCTGTCCTCTCCTGTGTTGAATCAATTCAAAGCTGCGAAGGGTGGTCAGCATATCTTCTACTTTAATAGCTGTCATATCACTCAATTCCTGCTTCAGTGGCATAGCCTTAATAATTATCAAAGAGATGTAACACCACTACACCAGGATTTGGTGATTAAGGATAACGAACAGAAAAGACAACGCAATCAATTACCCACTAAGTCTAATCCCCATCATCGTTATAGTTAAAAAGATCTAACAAACTGTACCCAGTAACCCTCCTATTGGCTATCAGGAACGCAACAGAGAAATACCAGACCCACAATAGAAATAGGAACGCGAGAATACAATTGGCCAAATAGAAGATTTTCCACCAACCATTTAAACCTTATAAATAGTACAATTTTCATTGAATATTAATACATATATATAGATGTTTAAGACATTTGAACTACGAGGACGACAAAAACAATAATAAACCTTATTTTATCTCATTAAGTGAAATTAACTATAATTATACTCTATCATTTATTAAATTTTTAAAAATATTATTAATTAAAAGGTCTCATTCAACAACTTTGAAAAATATTTTCTTCAATCTTCCTCTATTCTTCTTAACGGAGCTCAAAGTTATCTGTTTCACTCTCCTCATAAGTGCCTCCCGTGATCTTCTTTGTATATGTCCAAACTACCTCAAACAATTTTCTACCATTTTTCTTTAATAGGTGCCACGCCCATTTTTTTTCGTATTCACTCACTTCGAGTTTTGTCTTTATATGTATATCCACACATCCATCTCAACATTCTAATTTTTGTTACTCCAATTTTATACTCTTGTTGTCCTGTCAAAACCTAACATTTACTACCATATAAAATTGTTAGACTTATAACAATTTGATAAAACTTTCCTTTAAGCTTATCAAGTATCTGACGATTGCAGATAACTCTTTTAACTTTTCTCCAATTAAACCACCCCGCTTGTATCCTGTGTGCAATATCTCCATCAATTTTTCCATTTGTTAAATAATTGCTCCTAAATATTCAAACTTTTTCACTTGAGGTATGGTCTGATCACCCTATTTCACTTTCAAGTTACTCTTCACTGACCACTTATCAAAATTACAATGTAAGTATTCTATTTTACTCCTACTTAGGCGAAAATTTTGACTTCAATGTCTTCCTCCATAACTCAAGTTTACAATTTATCTCTTCTCTTGCCTCTGCAATAAAAACTATATCATCTACAAAAGATGCATTTAGAAATTTTCTTTTGAATATACTCAATCAAAACATCTAAGACTAGATCAAACAAATAAGGACTCAAAAATAATCCTCAATACATTTCAATCTTTATAAAAACATCTTTTGTTTCACTACCAAATATTCTTATACTAGTTGTTACCCCTTCATAAATGTCTTGTATAGCTCGAATACAGGCAACTCGGACACTTTTCTTATCCAATGCCTTCCAAAATACTTCTCTCAGTACACAATCATAAGTTTTTTCAAATCAATGAAAATCATGTGTAAATTTTTATTTTTACATCAAATACTTTTTCATTAATCTCCTTAGTAGATAAGTCACTTCTGTAATCATCCTCCCTGGCATAAAGCCGAATTGAGTTTTAAAAATACTAATTTTCAATCTCAACATATGCTCAATCACTCTTTTCCATAATTTTATAATATAACTCATAAGTTTAACTACTGTATGGTTGGCACAATTCTTAATATCTCCTTTATTTTTATAAATAGAAACTAAGATGCTTATCCTCCAATCGTCCGGCATTCTCTTGGATTGTAAAATCTCATTAAATAACTTAATGAAGCATCGCACTCCTTTTTTACCCAAACATTTTCACATTTCAATAGGGATACAATCAGATCCATTAACTTTACCATTTGCCATTTTCCTAAAAGCTTCTCTCACTTCCCAAGCTCATATTCTTCGATAGAATGATAAATTTTGCTATCTTTCAAGAGTTACTAAATCTTTTAAGTTAATTGACAAACTCTCATCATCATTGAAAAATTTAAAAAAGTAAGTCTCTCATCTATCTTTAATATCATTATCTGTGATCAAAACATTTTCCTCTTCATTCTTTATACACCTTATTTATTCTAAATCTTTTGATTTTCTTTCCTTACTCTTAGCAAATTTATAAATTTTTCGTTCTCCATCTTTTATCCCAAGACCATTATAAAACTCTTTAAATGCTTTAAAATGAGCTTCACTCAGCCTTAGTTTTCCTTTTAGCCATATGATACCTTTTCAATTTTCATCATTATTGCACAAATGGATGGCTTTGAAACACTCCTTCTTATACTTGATTTTTTTTCTGTATACTATCATTCCACCACCAAGACTCCTTATCTCTCAAACCAAAACCTCTTGATTCTTCCAAAACTTCTTTTGCAACCTTCCTTACCTTCAGAGCCAAGTCTTCCCACAAAGTATTAGCACTTCCTCAAGACTTCCAAATTCCTTCGGCTAAAAGATTTCTCTTGAAAATTTCTCTCTTTTCGCATTTTAATTGCCACCACCTAATCTTTAAAATTATTACTTGTTGACACCTTTTGTTTTTACTCATAATACACGCACCAAGGATAAGGACCTTGTGTTGTGTCAAAACAGCATTCCCAAGAATCACCTTACAATTTTTACAATGTCTTCTATCCACATTTCTTACCCAAAAAAAAATTAATCCCTGACCTTGAAGCTTCGCTTTTATAAGTGATGAGATGCTCATTCCTCTTCTTGAAACAGGTATTAGCAATCTTGAAATCATACGTCAAAGAGAAATAAAGGATATGTTGTCCTTCATTTAGTTCCCCAAACCACCATGCACCCTCGTGTAATAACCTGACTCCCTCCCGACATGTCCATTAAAGTCTTCTCCAATAAAGATCTTTTCATTATGTGATATACTTTCGACCAAACCCTTCAAGTCTTCCTAAAATAGTTCTTTAAGATTGACTTTTGTCCCAATTTAAGGTGCATAAATGCTGACAATATTGATAATCTTCCATTCAATGATCATTTTTAAAGAAATAATTATGTCTCTAATTCTGTTAACTTCTACCATGTTCTTCTTTCATTCCTTATTGACAATGATACCTACCTCATTACGTGTGTTTACTTTCTCAGTATACTAAAATTTGAAACCTTAAATATCCTTAGCTTGTTCACCAACCCATTTAGTTTTTTGCAAGCACAAGATATTAATTTTTCTCTAAATCATAACTCCTACCACCTCCATAGATTTACCAAAGCCAAAGTCTCAACATTTCAAATACCAAGTCTGATCATGCTCACATGGACTAACTTTTTTAGCCACGCTCGTCTAAAATAATACAGTAGTCCTTACTCATTTAACACTATATTCGGGCGTCGATGCAGCTACCCTAACTCACTTATCGCTGCACTTGAGCCATACAACACGTTACTTACAGGCAACAACCTAACATTAACATAAAAACCTCTACTGTCTGTATCTATGTGAGATTCAACAAAATTTTACGTTGGCTATTGAGAGTCTAACACAATCCTCCTCCTTTATCTGAGCTTAAGAGTGACTATAAAACATAGGCGGAGTTGTTTAAAACATTTAAACAAGGCAACGAAATCCATCATCTAACCTTAACAAGCTTACAGAAAGCAATTAAAAATTTGTCACATCCTTTCCTTTGTTAGGGTGAAGGGTGAGAATACATGCCAGATCATAAGATTCTTCTAAATGTTTTTCCTTTAAAATCAAAAGTTCAAATCAATAAAATTGTTCATAAATTCAAAATGAAAAAGACAAACAATAAAAGGACACGGGAGATAATAGAGAAGATTGCAAATATTTAAGCTAGATCACATTCATGCTTCCAGTCACAGAATTAATGTCTGAAAACAATAAGATTGGCTCCTTCAAAAGTGGAAGTTTACAATTAATTAAAATAATTACACGAATGAAGCAATCTGCAGAATATGTTTACATTGCTGGTTGCATACAGTGTGCAGATAAATAGGATTGGCATTTTTAATAACAGAGTGCAAAATTGCATGATATAAGAATTTGAAGCTTCTCATGCCAAACTACAGCAATGACAACAAGGATACATTTAACTTGGAGAAATAGCCAACCATGTGGCATCCTCGATGATCGATCATCACATTCACACAGAACATAGAACAGAAACAGGTCAACATCATCAGAGTCTTGTGATCAAGAAACAACTTGGCCAAATAACAGAGATTCTGCCCATAAACCTTGTTCTTTTTGCCATCAACCTGTTTGCGGATATAGCATAATAATTAAAGACAATCATAAAATACAAATAATCATACATACATTCATGCATGCGCACGCAGAGAGAGAGAGAGAGATCAAGGGAGTTATCTGACGTGAGAGGAGGTAAGAAAAGTGGTCGCCCTTAGATTTGAAATAAATACAAGAATAATTAATGCGAGAACCAAGGATGGCATTAATTACACAATTAAGGTGACTCCTGCATTTAACTTACATCATTGGTTTGTGATCCAAGGGTGATTATTTCGTCCCCTTGTACGATAGGGTCTGGGTTTAAGATGGAAAGTAGAGAAAAATTCTATTGAAGAAAATAATGTCAGGATCTGAAAACACCAATTACTTCACCAGACCAAGGAGAATCTCCCAACACAAAGGTAAATCACGAGTCTGAATCCTACTGCAACTATTTCTTAAAGATATTCCCCCATTAAAAAATATAAGACATTTTTTTTTACATTAAATGTTAAAAAGTACAAGGCATTTTTAGTTTTACTATGTGTAATAATTAATGAGTTTTTTTTCTCAAAAATACCCTTAATAAATAAATCACTCAACCCTTTACGTTTAAGTGATATACCATATTAAATGAAGGCAAATATGAAAAGATGATATTAGATTAAAGACAATTAACTGACTCAATGGAATGTGTAATTTGATTAAAAATACTTTACATTTTTTAACAAAGGAAATATATACAATGCAATTGTTAAGAACTGCACCTAGATTATAGCACAATAATAACTACTCATTAACAATCATAATAACTGCTAGAAACTAGAGGTAATGCTACTAATGATGGCTTTAGAGTTAACCACCCTATTCTCCCATTTCTTCAGTAACTGCCTCTCCCATCTCCCCACTATTACCTTCAGTCCTAGCTCACTTTCTACACCTGCAGCAGGTGTGTGAAGAACAGGGGCCCATTATTACCCTTTGATTATGTTCTCTCAATACACTCCTGGTATAATAAAAAATAGGCAAAAAATCAATGTTATCAAAGCCCAATAGAACTGCATCACCAATTTCCAAATGTAAACAATTACAAAGGTTTCAGATTAATATCCAATTTTGACCGAAACTTTCAAACAATTGGTGAATTTGAAGAGCATATTATTATATGAATGTAATATATAAGGCACACTCTGATAGAAACGTTTCCTTGGCAACAATATATACCTATAAAATGCAATATTATCTTGTTCATGCACATTTGAGCTTAGAAAATTGAATCAAATATCTATAAAATGGAAATAACCTGGTTCTTTAAAGCGCCATAGGCCTCTATCCAAATTAAATTGATGTTATCAAGCATCAAACAAGATGAAAATCAGGCAAACCTCCTTGTTATGCTTAGGAATTTCAGCTGTGACCAGAAACTTCCAAAAAAATAAAGAATCCAAGGTTGCAACAATAAGATACTTGAAATCCAATATTGGACAGCAGGATCACGCTCCTCAATCACCATTTACAGCATTTAAATGCTCTTGCACCCACTTAACTTATTCTAGATAATTGAAGATAGGTGAAGTAATAACTCATTCAAGACTCCATAAAATGAAGGTAAGGTAATGGGGTGCGAAAAACAAGAAAAACACAAACATAGATTAGTTTTGATACTAATTATAAGATGCCCATCAACATTAATAACTAGAGCAATGAGAAAAATGTACCTCAAACATTGACAATGTACCACTTCTGTATATCTCATCACCAGGAGGATGCTTGAGATCACATTTGCCTCTGCATGATAAAAAGAGATGTTGGAAGAAAGGTAATGGCCATTGAAGATAGTTCACATCATTACATAGATTATATAAACTGACAACCTTTTCGAGAAAGAAGGAGGGCAAGTTAAAATTATGAATTCTTCAATTCCAATAAAGCAACATAAGAACATTTACCATAGCTCTGAAGGTCAATTAAAAGTTCAGCTCACTCTGCTAGTTTCTTTTTTAAAAAATAAGACCACCTGGGAGTGTAGACCTTTCAACCACACAACAGTTTATTCAAGTTCAGGTCAACTTCCTTCAGCGTATTTGATGGAAAATTCATATGATTGGTATCCTTAAATCAGCTTCCAATTGTACCGGTAATTCAAGAATTCATGCAGTCAACAGATAAAGATGATTTTCATGGAATTCATATGAATTAACTTGTGACAGACAAATAATCAAAAAGTCACAAGCCACAGTAATACTTAATTCAGAGCTATGATCATTCAAGATACAGCTAATGGTCATCAAAGATTAGGTCATGTTGGTGAATGGAGAGAATAATTAGAGCGAATTGGAAGATTTTTTTTAAGAAAAAAGTTTCAAATACCCTTTTACGCACTTACTTCATCCTGCAAAGAAAAGAAAAGAAATCCCACATTTGGGGAGGGGTAGATTCAAGAGAAAAAGGTTTGCATATCATAACAGGATCATACCATTATGCAAACATTAAAATGGCATGAAGCATTAATACAGACAAAAATTTGTACAGACAACATTTAAAACAAGCAAAAAAGCAAGTCTAAACATTAAGATGATTAGGATCTCAGGGTAAAATAAGATTTAATGCAAGTTTATATTCCACTTCACATGACAATACCACAGAATAGCAATTAAAGAGAACTAGAAAATAGAAAAAGCAAACAATAACAGCAATGCCTGAAGAGGAGCAGAACAAGGGATACGACGACTGAAAGATATGCATTCCTGTTCAAAGCAATAAATAATCACTCAAATCATAATGGGGAAAGGAAGCAATATTTGAGGCACAGCTCACCATATGCCTCTGAAGCTGTTCTTTGCACTTCATAAAATCGAGGGAAAACTCATAATAGTACAGCCTCAAACAGTCATTGTATTCTGATGGGAAGGGGGAAGTACCGTGTCTCAATCTCATATCTTCCTAATTTAATGGCAGCAATATTCTTCACTTTTGTAAATTCCTCATGTTCTCGTAAGCTGGCAGCAAAGCATCAAGCTTCTCATGGCCCTATATGGAGCAAAAGACACATTCATACACATGGAGGAAACAGCTGCAGCAAGGCAGAAACAGCTTGACTAATAATAAAATCCATTGCTTTCACATTCAAGAGTGGTCAGACTTGCGAATAAAAAGCAGAACTCTGTCACTCTAACTTGCTATCACAAGATTATATGGCACTCATCAAAATTACGTATTTCAATTTCATGTGACTTTGGGATTCATTTAATCCCCCCACTCCCTCCTTTCCACACAAACTTTAAATACTAAATAGCCACAAAACAGTAAAACGTTTGCAGCAATTTTTAATCTGATTACTATCCCAATTTTCATGCCAATGACTTGAAGTTCAAATAGCTCCTATTCTTCGAGTAACTATGTAAATAGAAAGATCACAAATCTTTAAGCCTAGAAGGTGTTATTTTGAGCTTGCGCATTACTTGATTCTTGTCAAAAAATACATGTTGAATACCTCCACGGTGCGTCTCATCAATCCTCCTCTTTTGCTGGCGTGTCATCTCCAAGCTTGTCACCTGAAAAAACCACACATGCAAAATAGAGTCATTCATACACAATAAGAGTACCTCTTTGTTTGGAAAATGGAAAACGGAAAGACAAGGGAAGAAAATTATTGACAAAACACACACGTTTTACTTCTTACAATTTACTTTCTCTCTTCCATTTATTTTCCAGAGAGAAGCAAAGCCCAGTCGATGGGAAATTATATAACTCGCTATCTTCCACTGCTTTAGATAAACGAACGAGAGCAGAATAATTTTTTAAAAAAACAATATCATTGATCGTTTCAATGAAACCTACAAATCCGTTTTTCCACAAAAGCTTCCAAGGCACAGACGCTTAAAACAATTTGGAGAACATAAATCATTACCTTCAACTTTTCGTCAACAGCCTCCACCAAATCAAGATCAAGTTGTTCAACCTTCACCCACTCATCAAGCCTCCTATTGACTGCCAGAAAGAACAACATACGCGTATGAGACTACCCAACTGCTACCACTAGTTAGAGTTCCTGCCCACGTTAAGAAAAATGGCATGGCAAGAATTGGGACAAAAAGCTGACAGGAATTGCATGGATCGAGTGTTTCTTTTAGTAAAACCTATGGCGAAATGAATCAAACAAATGCCAAGCATCACAGTCACAACGACAATTCGACGTCTCATCCAGAAGAAACGCAGATACATAAAATTCCAGATTCATAACCACTCAGCTAAGATCAAATGCGTCTCTCAGCCACTTCATAACCAAAACCCTAACCAGTAAAATTGCGCAAGGCCAGAGAAACAACGAAAGGAGATCTTACACTCGGTATAATGGACGTAATAGTCGTAATCGATGGGACGCACTTTACTCATCTTGCGGCGCTCGATGACTTTCACGGGTTGAAGCTTGCCGTCCCTCTTACGACACATGACCCGAGTGCCAACATCCAGGGGAGGCAAAGACGCTCTCCTCTTCTTTGGAGTATCGGATTCCAGCGGCTTCTCCGACGCAGTTTCGACAGGCTCCCCATCGCCAGAAGAAATTTTACCGGTGCCGGTTAACGGGGCAGAACCGTTCTCTACCCTCGTCGGTGTCTCCAGCGATCCCATTTTCCTGTCCAAGCCCCCGACGATACAACGGATTCAGGCGCCAAAACAAAGAAACGGAACGGGAAAGCATGAAGCAAGGGGGCGGGGATAGCCGAACAGCCCGAACTGTGTACTCTTCACCGACTTACTGTTCCCTTTATGTACAGGAAAATTACATACAGGTTTCGTACAATAAACTTATTCACACATATCTACATGAAATTCATAAACAACCAATTCTTTTGAGAATTGAGTAATTTTGCCAGTGGCATGTAAAAACAATATTGCTTTTGCTTATTGAGTTATAACCTCCGGCTATGTTTGGTATGAGGCATTGAGAGGTTGAGATTGAGATTAATATTAAAAAAATTCACAAATACAATGTTTGATATGATGGATTTTTTAATTTTTGGATATGATGAAACCTATATAGATGCGATTAATGAAACTCATGGGAAAGGTGGTATTAAAAATTTAAGCTTGGGATTAAATTTTCTTAAACCAAAATACCCTCCATTTTTTGTACATGTCTAGCCTTCCACTTTCGTCTTCTTCGATCTCGTAGCCATTGGCCAACACGAACACATTCTCCTTCTCTAATCTCGCAACCACAGCCTCTAGATTTTGCAATCGTCATTGCCTTCTCCTTATCCGATCTTGCAACCACTGACCTCTAGATCTCGCAATCATCTCTGCCTTCTTCTCTAATCGTGCAGCCACTGTCACTTAAATCTCGCAACCACTTTCATCTCCTTCGCTTACAGGTCCAAACTCAATCTCCCTCTCTTAAAAGATGCACAATCGCGAAGGTATGGAGAAGATAAACCTTGGGCTGCCATGGTTTTCAAGAGAAGGTGTTCCAATTTTTTAAAAAAATTTTAAGGGTAGTATGGTCTTTTCATACTTTATATTTAATTGTAAAATAAATAAAAATAATTATTCTTTGTAAGTATTATCTCATACCAAACATAATTTTAAAGTCTCATTCCCAATACCAATCTTATTACCAATCCCAATACTAATCCCTCTAAATTAAGGCTTGCATATCAAACAGGACCTTAGGTTTTTTGAATGTATTCCTTGCATCGGCGTCTACTTTCCTTTGCTAATCAAAATCCAGTGAGAAGCAAAAGGAAAGATATTCACAATATTCAAAATGAATGCCATAATGTTCTTGCCTATTAATGGCTTGAAAAATGACGTGAAGAAAATGTTTGCCAATACCTTCGAGTATTGGTCCAAGGTGAGGATGTTAAGCTTATGGAATTGTCATTGTATCAATTGATGAACATTAAGCTAGTGCTCTATACAGGAGACCAAGGGAGAGCCATTTGATAGACCCTTGGGGACACTAGCCCATGTATTTTCATCGATGAATAGGAGATTCATCTGGATAGCATAGAGAATTGGGTGGTATCTAGCAATGTGATACAATTGTCTGTGGCCAGATTCAAGGTCTAACCTATGAATTTAACAGGTGGCTCTATTAACATACTATATAATTTCATATTGACATACTATATTATTATTCTAACCTATGAAATTAACAGGTGGCTCTATTCACATATTATATTATATTATATTATATTATATTATATTATATTATAATTATGTAACACATATATTAATTTCACTATTTAATTTTTAATCAATCCATTCTTTTTTATTTTTAATTAAATTAGACTTATATATTAATTTTAATGTTATTATTTTATTGTTGCTTTGTATTAGAATTAGTAAGTTCTCTTTATTACTATATATTGTAATTGATAAATTAAATTTTGTGTGTAAGCCTATTTAAAAAGACTTTTTTTTTCAAGTAGCTTTTTAAATAGGTTACCAGATTAGGTTGAGCTTTAGGTAGGTTTAAATATGAACAGTAAAAAAAGCCTTATATAGATTCTAGGTGAGGCATGGATTTCTGACTTACTCCTTCGATCTTCTTTATAAATCATTTCTACAAACCTCTTAAATGTCAATGCAAAAAAAAAGTATAAGGAATTAAAGTGTTTAGAATTTTAAATATACTTGTATATAACAAATTCAAAAAATAATGTTATATCACTTTTTTCCTCATGAAAGGTAAGTTTAGAAATATCTTTACTAAAAAAAACTACACTACGACTTATAAATAAGATTAAATAAACCTTTTAAATTGTGACTTATAAAAATGGGACTGGAGGGAGTACCACATAAGTTCAAATCTACCTAACTAAAGTCTAACTCAATCTAGCCAATTTTCACCCTTGATAATTGCACATGACATGACATAACGCATTCCTCACACCTCTCCATTACATATTCTAATTATGGGTTGTTGCATAAATTTTATCTATTTTTCTAATTATATTCCTACTTTACTATACCTATGCTCAAATAATTAATAAAACTGTTTTGAATAAGTCAAATTTTATATTTATTTTACTCATAAGTATGATTGAAAGGATATAAAAATTTAGAAAATTAATATTTTAGTGAACTAATTAACAATGACTTATACTCCTCTGGTTATTTATAGAGCAGCGAGGGGATTTTTTTTGTCATATTTATAATTTACATCAATAAATTATTTCACAAATTTTTTCATTGACCTTCAATTAAATGTTAAAGAGAGAAATGTGTTGTTAAAGTAACGTTGATAACTTATTAAATTTTTAGACAGAGTTGATTATTTTTAATATTTGTTTTTGTTTTGATAAAACATGTTGAAACTGATTTTATAAACAAAAATAGGGAATATTGTTGTTCATGGTGAACAACAAATATTGAATGGCATTCCTTTTAGGAGAAAATTGAACATCTCCTCTGTTTTGATAGTGTCAAAGGTGTACTCAATGGCATTGGCCTTTTGGGAATATCTCTGGCCTTCTTTATCAAAACTAAGCATGTGTAGTTCCTAGCATTTTTTACTTCTACCGCCGCCACGTCAAGGTTCCTAAAATAGGTTCCTGTCGTAGTCCGTCGGCGATGGTCCTCTTCCTTGAGCAATTCCTCACATCCCTATACTTTGGCCGTGAGCTCATAAAAATATCAAAATTCCATCCCCTAAAATTTCTTTCAAAGCTTTATATCCAGTCTTGTTGGTGCCAACTTGACGAATTCAGTTTCTGGAAGCAGCACATAGCACCTACTCCTCAGTCGTTTGAACCTCACCAAGTATTGGTCTGTCGTCTCTCTAGCTCGTTGGGTGAGTTTGTAGAGTTTTGCTATGTTAACCTCTGACTCTATCTTGTAAAACTAGATATGGAACTTATGCTCCATTTCCATCTAGCTGATGATTGAGTTACGGGGTAGAGAAGTGTACCATGTGAATGCCAAGCCTGTGAGAATGTTTGGGAACTATCTCAGTTTTAAGTTGGCAAAGTTTCTCTAGTTGGCAATCTCCCCATATTGGATTGTGAATCTCCTAATGTGCTCCAGCGTCAATTGCATTCCGTCCCTTGAAAACAGTGTGAAGTCAAGGATCCTATATCCTCAAGGGTATGGATTGTCTCTATCTATACACTCCAGATATGACTTTGAGAAGGTAAGGCGGCTAATTGGCCTTAGCCCCAGTCCGTATATATCTTGGATAGCATCCCTCAAGGCCTCCATGTTCACCAGTTGGTTCTAAAACTCGTTATAACACTCTGGGACCATTGCTATGCCCCCCGAGCCGTTCATGTCAGGCTTTTGTAAATAATACAAAGAATTACTTAAAGGATTAGTGTGAGCAAAAAATTAAGAGTTAAGGATGTCCCTTACAAGTGGGTGACCCCGAAGGCCAACATCTATATTGATTCTTGTTTGTTGTCCTCTATGCGGCCTTAAATTTGAGCATGCTTTTAAAGGAGTGCTTTTTAATGATGTGGCTATATTTTTCATGCCATCATGTAGAGCCTATATCATGATCTACTATTGGTCTTTCTCCTTATGTTATGATGTTTCCAAGGATAGTGCAAAGAATTTTTGATTTTCTTCTAGTTGCTTATCCATCCAATCTTGAATTCCCCACAACACTTCTATCATGGGATCGTTAGATATAATCAGTGGGTTAGCTTGTCCACTTCTAAGCTTTAAACTATGGCTTATGCTGCTGTTACCTGTTGACATTAGTACTATATACTCACAATGCTTAGCTATTTTAGCATCAGGTACTAAGTGTTTTGACCTTGCATGCGTAGAGGTCTCTTTTAGTTTATGAGAACTAGCACTTGTTTTGTCAATCCTTTTGTCTTTTCTCATCCTTGCCATCTTTGTTACACAGGTCCTACTGGGCATGCTAAAAATTGTTCATAAAAAACAATCAGGCGTGGTGTCACAAAGAATCTTTGGTTCTCTTCTAGCTGCTTATCCATCTGGTCTTGAATTTCCCACAGCACTTCTGCCACGGGACTATTAGATATGATTAATAGGTTAGCTTATCCACTTCCTAGTGTTAAACCACCACTGGTGCTACTGCTACCTGTTACATTGAAACTATGTGCTCACGATGCTCTCAGCTGCTTCAATATCAAGCACTAAGTATTTTGAACCTGCGTGTGCAAAGGTCCTTTTTGGTTCGTGAGAACTAGAACCTATTTTATTAGTCCTTTTATCTTTCTCATCCTTGTCATCTTTGTTATATATGTCCCACCAGGCATGCTAAAAATTGTTCATGGTGAACAATAAATACTAGGTGTGCAAGAGATACTGAGTCTCAATTGATAACAAAAGGGTCCCGAGCTCCCTTACCACAGTTTACTTGAATGTAAAAGATACACAAGACTTTAGTAGAATAAGTGTTTGATTTTTATTAAAATGTGAGAAGTTATAAGTCTAAATTGAAAGTAAAATTAATTGATAAAACTAAAGGCTAAAAGGTATAAAAATGCAAGTTTTTAATCGAGTGTTGACTGCCTTTCTTCTGTGTCTTCGTCTTTTATTTATATATCAAAATGGTGGTAGCCTCTCCCTTAAGACCTAGCACGTTTTGCTAAGGAATCAGGGATCTTGTGAAACTCATGGCACAGTCTTTATTTCGTGTTTTCTATTTTTGGTAATCAACCTGTCTCATCGAGATACTTGGGCATGATGTTTGCAAATTTCAGAATTACTTAAGATCGTGTCTTCTTGTGCCAGCAGTTTAATGTTTATAACTGGCGGGATTTTGACATGTTTATTTTATTGTGGCTTTTATTGAGCTTTGAGGCCGGCCTTTTTG